GGCTCAATTAACGAGTGAGTGTTCTTCACACAAGGACTGCAAAGGCATATTTTTTGGCATGGATTCTCTTATGCTCCTTGTACTATCTTGACAGTTATACTATTCTTTTGTTCAAAAAGCCTCCTCTCCATCTGGGTCTATCCCACGAGTCTTCCTCAGCTAAAGCGTGGTCCATCTTGTTTTCCTCTCTTCACCTTCCAAATACCTCGTGCAAAGATCACTGGCTTTTTAGGAGTAGCAACCAAAAAAGTTGTTCACGGACTTTTTGGTGCATGGAAGGTTTTTTTTGGTTTTATTTTGTTGTGTTTTTTTGCTTTTTCGTTGTTGTTTCATTTTGTGGAAACATGACTTATTTTAAAAGAATGTCTAATGTAGAGAGTGCTAAAGTTAAATGCTGCTGCTGGAAATCTTTCATCCACAGAAAATCAACTACATTAATTAGTAGTAAAAATATCTATGATATAAAGACATCTCACCTCTTTGTCCCTGAAAACAAAGCACAAAGCTCTACTAAACCCCTTTCTTAGCAGAACAAAAGAGGACTGCAAAGGTTTGTAGAGGAAGAAATGAGGGACACAAAGGGTGCAGTGGAAGACAGGAGTTCCTGTGTATACGCGGGAGGACAGTATTTTAACTTGATGAGAGGCTAAGGGCTTGAAAGGTAATAGCAAATATGCTTAAATCAGAAATTAAGTTAATGCCAAAAAGGGTTATGTGTGGGTTGATAACAGAATCTTGCATATCTGGATGGAAGCTAAGAAACCAAGGAGAAAGTCACAGTTCCTATGTAGAGGAGAATAAACCGATGTGCAGTAAGCTGACACAAAAAAGCAGAGTTTACCAGTTTATATCACTGCACGCACTGTGACATACATTTTGCAAATCCAGTTTTATTCTCTTGCACCACTCTTAGAAGGTATATTTTCATATAAAATATAAACCAACTTAAAGTAAGAGGTTTTTGCATCACAACACCCTACTACTTATTGGAAGCTGAACAATTCAGGTTACAAATAAACCAGCAGAGTAGATGTGAACAAGAAGGAAATATCTCTGCTGTGGAAAGAGAAAATGGATGAAGTAAAGATCAACAGCTCTAAATAATGACAGTGAAGTATCTTCCTTCAGAAATTACATCATTCAGAAATTACATCATTACATCACACTTCTAAATTCTTTGTTACAAGAATTTACTGTTCGGGAGTACACTAGAATTTTATGCAAATAACTACTTGCCCAACACATACCAATTTTTATTCCACTTGTGTGCGAACTCAATAAGCAGGATGAGTTGAATGGCAATGAAAAGGAAACCTCCTGCTGCTCCTACGTAGCGCCAGGCTGCAAGGCAGAGAGGGAGAAAATAGGTCAGACAGCAGTCGCCTTTCCCTTGAGATAAAATGGAATTATTGTCTACGCAGTGAAGCTGTTACACAGTTTGAATATCTCAAGCCCACAGATGTAGCAGGAGATGGGAGATTTCAGCTGAAAGGCCAGTTCAGCTAACTCAGAATTAGCTCCCTGATGAATTCAGCTTGCAACCTGCTACACTTCCAAAATAAGCCTGTTAGGACATTTACTGAGTTTCCTCAACCCAGAGAATTTTTGCGGAGACTGAGTTACTATATTCAGACAGAAAATACTGAAACCTTTATTTGTGACTGGTGGGAGGGAGGTGGTCTGAAGGCATTTCACAGGAATCTAAACCCTGAAATTGCAAGGTACTGAAACCTAGTACTAAAAGAGGAAATTTCTTCCCTCCCAGAATCCAGTACCACAGGAAAACAAAGGTGGAGCTTATCTATTTACAAATGGTGTCCCGAGCCACTCCCAAACGGGCGGGAACACTTGGCATTCACCCACAAGTTTCAAGATAGGTTATTTCACTACTTAGCCATTGACCTACATACACTGTATCTGGGTAGCTGTTTGGATACTTTGGACAACAGATTCCTTATGTGCAACATCACAAGTCTCTGAGGAAATACAGATACCTATTAAAATGTAGTGGACAGCATATAAATTACTCCAGGTACGCAGATGATTTCCATGAAGAAGACAAAGAAAGTGCACAGGTAAAGTTCAGCCATATCCTACCATTGTGTTTTCCTTTTGAAAAAAACTTGTATATGTGAAATGGAAGAAGAGCACAACCAGGGAGCACTGCTCTTAGCAGATGATGCAGAGACTTTTTACTTTTTTCTTTTTAGTGTACCATGAGCTCATCATTTGAAAGCAAGCAAAAACGTCATTTATCTGTTTTTTCTGAACATATTGTATTCACTTGACAAGCATATTGTTCTTCAAAGAAATAAAACAAAAACTGGACAAGCTGGCATGTAAAAAATTACATTAAAAAAAAACCACCAAAACAGAGAACAAGGTGTGTTTTGGAGATTAGGAAAAAGCAGACCACCAATGGAATGAGTAATTAAATAACCAGACTCTCAGGATCTCCCACTGTGACAGGCAGGACACTGCAGGATGTTTTGTGGATTCATCATAGCTATGGTTATCATGGCCAGTGTGGATTGAACATTATAGCCCACATAAACCTAGTGCTTACATATAATACTCTTAACACTCCTCCATGTTTAGCAAACTGCTAAGCATGAGGAGCCTAACATAAGCTTTTTTCTTTTCTAAAAAAAATAAGCAAACTGGGATAATGCTCAATAAATAAAAATAGTAGACAGCTTAAGTTTGTTGACGGGAGGGGAAAAAAGCGAAAATAAAACCACACAATACCCAAACCATCTGTAAATCTCAAATTCAGGGGCTGACTGGAGCACAGTTTAGCAGGATGTGCAGCATGCAGCTTCAGAGAGAAAAGTTAAGAGCTAATTTGGGAATGAAAGCTCGTTACGCTTTATCTCTGAGAAACAGCACTCTAATCAGCAAAAAAAGTTCTTTCCCCCTTTCTCCAACCATTTTGGCTCTTGATGAGCTTTCACCATGGAAAGTGTTGCCTGCAAAGATGATATAAGTCTTATTTGCTCATGAGTACAATGCATTGCACTACTGTGTCTTTCTAAACCAAACAGTGATTAGGTATTAAGGACAAGCATACACAGGCATTCTGTGACTTTGCAGAGGAGAGAAATAGGGATATGGAGCCCTTTACTTCTGGAGCATCAAACTGAACCAGCACCAAACAAACAGCTGGTAAGAACAACTTGAATTACATCTATCAGTGGTTTACCTGAAGTGTTTTCTACCTCATTTTTCCAGAGCACCATGCTCATAGTATGCCCACTCTGTTTTCTTCTTCCACGTTACTCCTTCCTCTTCCCCTTTTAACTACCCCAGCTAGAGGAGACTGGTGTAGAAAACACAGGTAACCAAGCAAGTCTTAGTGGAAGCAGGCAGCAAACAGTACCACTCCTTTGCGTTACTGATCCCACCCCGTTAGATGCACAAAGCAGTGAAGAATCACAAAGCTCAATGTTGCTAACAAGCCATGATAAAGCATTTGGTGCCCGGAATAACACAGGGGGCAAGTGGACATCTGGTGGTCTGTGATTAATGCAGCACCAAGGAGGAACATGACGGGAGGCGAAGGCTGTACGGCAGCTCTCACGAACAGCAACAACAGAAAAAAGGCTTGACTGTGTGAAGTGAGGTGAAGGCCACCTGGTCCCACTCCTCTGCAATGCTCCAAAGTTATTCTTGGAGCTACGGAGTGTTTTGTGCTCAGAGATAACAAATGTTTATCAGAAGAAGGAGGATTTATGCACTATCAGAAGAAGGCAGCTCAGAGCTAAAGAAAGTTTTGTGAACTATCAGTAGCAATAACAATTTGACTGAAGTCCCATCCACTCACTTTATGCAGCAGCAGGTAAAAGGGTACAAAGATTACCCTAATTTCATACTTGTTTTGAGGGACCGAGAAGTTGACACCAATACACAGGGACAGATCGACAGGTTTGTTCTCCTCGCCCTCCCCAGAAGGCACGTGTTTTGTTAAGACTCAGGACTGCGGCCATACCAAGTGCTATACCCGGGAATTCCCGACTGTAATTGCAAATATATGTATATATATGCATACGTATATATATACACACATACACAAATAGATATATATGTGTATATATATATATGTTTATATGCATGCACTAAGACCGAAAAGCATTCTGCAGTAGTATTAGTAGTTTTTTATTGCTGACAATCTAAAAGAACCTGTAACTGTTGCATATAAATAAAATGTGCTATTTGTGCCTTTGTGCATTCAACTGCTTTACTTAAAAAAAAAGGCCAGATCATACTTGGTGGCGGACCTTATAAAGTGCCCAAACTTCACTTTTTGAAAGCTGACTGGATCTAACCTGGTAGCAGGCCTTATAGTGTCTGAAAATCTGCTTTTTGTAAAGCCAACTGGACTCACAGCCAGTGTAGGAGGTAACAGTTGCAGTAACAGCAGCTTATCCCCTCAATACCACAAACACAACATAACCCCTTTCTACTTGCCCAGACTCAACAGCTTTAGGGCTTTCAAGTATCTGGAAAACTGAAGAGCACAAACTTATCTTAGTATTGCCAGGATTTTTGCTCCTAACCCGCAAAAGAGCTGGCTAGGCCAGTACTAGTGTGCCCAAGCAGTGCCAAGGCATATTCCAAAACTGGAAATGCTTCAGGCACGGCATCCTCAGCAGAGCCCTCACAACACAACCCAACAAGTCTGATTTTACCTTGCTGCATTTATGTCGTGAGCCTGAAAGCTAACAAGATCCCAACTTCTGTGGCATTTCAGGTTTCTGGGTTGCAAACATGAGTGCCTAGTAGGTCACTGTGTCCCCTCGAGCCCTGGCACGTCTCCACCGTGCAGCACAGACCCTGGCTACTGTGCTACAGCGGAGCTACCTCTACAAACCAAACTAACATGTGGCTCTGTGTGCTTTTGCACCATTCCCTGGCTTCTTAAAGAATTTGCAAGGCAACACTGCAGTGTATTTTTACCTGCCCATTTGGCTTGCTCTTGGTCCGAAGAAAACATGCTCTTTATTGCACATTCACATGAAGGCCACGTACTCTGTGCATACAGACATCTCGCCTGAACAGCTCCAAACATTCCTTTTGTACCTGGACTATACCGGCTTTACTTGAAGAAATACGGCAATATTCATACTGATTAGACCTTTAAGGTTTATAGCCACTCACAACATAGAACAGAATGACTCAGCATAACAAAACAAGAAGGACGTACCATTGAGGAAAGTGTCCTGATCAGGAATGAAGAAGGCTCCTGAGCACATTGCTGCCAGAAGTATAAGTTTAATGAGCCAGAATCTGGATGAGAGGAAAAAAAAAATCATCTGGTTGTAACAGAAATTAAGAGGTCTTCAACTTAAGTACCATGAGAAATCACAGAATTATAGAATCATAGAATGTGTTGGACGGGAAGAGACCTTTAAAGGTCATCTAGTTCAACCCCCCTGCAGTGAGCAGGGACATCTTTAACTAGATCAGGTTGCTCAGAGCTCCATCAAGCCCGACCCTGAATGCCTTCAGGGATGGGGCATCCTCCACCTCTCTTACCCTGCTCTAGTTTAAAACATCTGCCCCTCATCCTGTCGCTACACATCCTCATGAGCAGTCCCTCCCCAGCTTTCCTGCAGGCCCCCTTCAGGTACTGGAAGGCTGCTGTTAAGGTTGTCCTGGAGCCTTCTCTTCTCCACATTGAACAATCCCAACTCTCTCAGCCTGTCCTCATAGGTGAGGTGCTCCAGCCCTTTGATCATTTTTGTGACCCTGATCTGGACCTGCTCCAACAGGTCCATGTCCTTGGCGTACTGGGGGCTCCAGAGCTGGACACAGCAGTGCAGGTGGGGTCTCACCAGAGCAGAGCAGAGGGGCAGAGAAGCCCAGCAAGAGAAAAAACAGCCTTTGATGATCAATTGTCACTTTAGGTAATTTACACTTAGCTGCATTATTTCTGACAAATGCACTAAAATCAACATTTGTTTTGTTTTAGGTTTTGAGGGTTTTCTGCATAGTACTACACACAACTGGAAAGTAGGCAGCAACAACCTGTAAATGGAAGTGGAAATTAAGCAACCAATGAAATACTCACCCATTATGAACGTAGGCTCGGCAGCTTTTGCTGCTGTTAATTCTGATGGTGAACAAGAAGAACAAAAAGAAGAAACAGGCCATTCCAAAACAGACTTTATACACTGCAGTGTATCCCACCAACTTCTCGCACATCTCACCTGCCTGAATGCCCTTGCACATCTCCTTGTAGAAGGGAATCTGAAAAGGACAACACATTATAAACCGTTAGATAGGACACAGGGCTCCTCATAACCAGACGCATCTACAACTAAGCACCGACTTTTCACCGGCTTCATTTCATATCTTTCACTCTTGCTATCCCTCAGTCTGGATTTAAGGGTTCAGGGGAGACAAAGAAATGCAGAACACAAGGGACTGGAGTTTTACAGAGCCTCCACTCACAATTCCTTTCAGACGCTTTGGGGTACAATTTTAGCTATCTTTCCTTCAGCTCTGCCAGCTCAAGCCATCCTCTGCACCTTACTGCTTATCCTCTCATCCCAGGGACCCTCTCCCTTCTTTCTATGCTTTAAGCAAAATACTTTGATTGTTTCAGTAAGTTATCTTACATGAGACACACCAGGGGTTTTACCAGCTAACAGGGCATGAATGTGGCTGCAGGGCAGGAAGCTCTAGCTTGTGCTGCCCTTCATGGAAAAGTAGGCTGAAGCATAGCCAAGCAGCACAGAGGCAGCAAGCCCCCTCCTCTCCATCACAGCCTCTCAAAGGGACTTGTGCCAGTTGCCCTGATTTTGTTTTAAATTAACAGAGAGGCAGGAAAATTCCACCTCTCCCTTGACTCATTAAATATTTGCCTTTGAGGTTTTGCTCTCGCAACAGGAAAGCAAACAGCTGCACATTTTGGCTTCAGTTTCACCAGACAGACATGATGCTGGGTGCTTCAGAAAAGTAAGTCTCTGTGTCCAGGACCCACTTCTGTGGGGTGACTCTGTGCAGACACCACAACGCCTTGCAGTCAGTGAGATGTTCAGCTGCACAGAAATACAGGCATTTAACTAGAAAACCACTGCTACCCTGAAAGAAAGGCCTATGTGTAAGCTCACAGCTCTCAGCTGAGGCTGGAGAGACCAGCTGAGCAACACATCAAACCCTGTGGAGCTGACCGCTGCTATTTGCTCAGGTAACTGGAGGAGAAAGAAGACAATGTGTGCTAGGACACAACACGTGAAAAAAAACCCAAACCCTCAGGCAAATGAAATGGGAATCAGACTTCAAAAACCATTCAGCCAGGCCAGATTTTGCTTAAGAAAAATATATAAAGATTGGGGGCAACACCATCCTCGAACACTTCGAGTCTCCCTCTTCTTCATGTCCTGGTTTGAGGCAGGTCAGTGCAAAAAGCCAGGACAGAGAAAGAACAAACAGGACCCAAGAGCAATCAATCAGGCAGTATTCGCAGCCGGGTAGAAAGTCATACGAGATGCAGGAAACAAGGGACAGACATGTACACAGTCAGCTTCCAGCCACCAGCCTCTGAAAGCCTGCTTCCCCCAGCACAATATGCAACCTCCCATCCCGTGCCAACAACCCAAACTAGACAGGAGCTCAACAACACTGCTAGCAGCTTCCCCAAAGGAGCAACCACTTTAGCAGCTCAGAGCAACACCAAGTTGCTGTGCTAAGGGTAGCAAAACTAACTATGGGACTGAGCTGATCCTAGGTGAGCTAGAACCAGCCAAGAAGATGAAAAGCAGGTCTCAATGCAGCTGCGTGGTGTTCAAGGATGGATTCAAGGTGGGCCACTCAGAGATGAGAAGCCACTGTGCCAGAAGGTGACCAGTAAACAAGTAGCTGTGGCTAACTTGCACCCAAGAGTTTTTGAGAGCTCCTGAGAACTGTCTGGAGCATGAGTGATGCCTTTCCCCAGGAAAGGCAATGAAAGATGAAACTGGGCAAACGTGTCAGCACTCAAAACAAGCAAACGGATTGACTAGAACAACTGGGAAACCTACCAACACCACAGTGACGCCAGGACAAGCAAAGCGGCCACAGCAATCCCAGGCAAAGCAACTGGACTATCAATCAATGCTTTCCTGTTCTCTGCTTACAATAGCTGTCAGTCAGCAAAGATTCAAAAGATGTAAAATACTGAACCAACAATATTTCTAAGAAAATTAGATATCTGTTTGATATAGAAGTGTCATGGTACTAACCAAGAAGACAAATTTCTGTAAGATCTGTACTTAGTACCAAGCAGCAGTTTGCTTATATCAGTTAAAGTACAAAACAAAAAAAATACCATGGAACTTGATTACTCAGGTAGCTAACTAAAAAACAGATCTCTGGGTAACTGTAAACGAACATCTTATTTAATTGCACAGGTTTCTACAGAGACCTTGATTGGATTCTTGACCCTATATGTTCTTTCCTTCATTTAGTAGTAATTTAGTCACAGATCTGGCTGAGAGAAAATGGATGGATTCACAAGAACAATAGCTCAGTTTGTGCCTACACAAGCAACAAAGAGCTCAGCCATCATGTAGTATGCACAACACTATGCAGTAATAAGTCATGGCCACAGGGAATAGTCCTGTGGGATTTAGTGCCCTTTTTGGAAACCCGTGATCCTGAAGGAACAAAACAAGAATAAATCCAAACTCTTGGTGACCCTGGCAGATAATAAAAATGAGCACGATGCTGGGGACAAAAGGGCTGATGTAACAAAAAGGGTATGTATGTATCCTCTGATGGTCTACTGCAGGGAACAATTTATCATGGCTCATATGACTTCTTCACTAAAAGTTAAGGAAGACTGCCTTATTATTATTTTTTTTTTGAACTCTGTATCCCTGAAAGATGTTTAGCTGTTGAGTAGCCTGCCCAGCCTGTGTGATTTACCAGTCTTTCCATTTGCAGCATAGCTTTGTCAGCTGTTAAAGTCACAGATGAGTTATTCACCAAGTTTGATACAGGGGAATATCTAGTTTTATAGCTTTAAAAGCAAGACAAAGTAAGTTCTTTGGCCTCCGAGTAGGGGACAAAGCATTCTTGCTGCAGAAACTTAGTATCAACTCAGATAATTTAAACGCCTGGGTTGCTGTGCAAGCAAATGATGTTATCACAGCAAAGCTGGCCACCTTCCGAGTGCAGTGAAACCCTTTGACGTGACAGCAACATCTGCAAAAACAGGGACAGACTGCCCTGGACTTGCAAGCTGCTGGCGCCCAAAAGAAACGCAGTGCAAAAAGCGAGCCAACACAGCCACACCGTGTCCAGGCTGCGGCTGTCTGGGGCTTAGCCACGTCTAAGCTTGGGTCTGTCTCCACCCACACATGTGAATACGGGAGCCTGGGAAACAGCATCAGAGAGGGAATAGGAAAAAGTGTGTAGACATGGGCTGGAAGAGCCTGAAGGGAACTGCTTTCATCTGGATGTCCTCATCCAGCAGGTGCAGAGTGTGGCAGATGACCTTTGTTTGGAAAACAGAGGAAGCATGAAAGAAAATCCGCATAGCTGAGGGAAACAAAGGCAAAAAAAACCCCACAGGTAAAACTGCCTGTCTTGAGCAGCTCAGAAATGGAATAGAAAAACAAGGAACAATTGGACCAAAACACATGCCATCTTGCATTTATGGCTAAATTCTTATCAGATATAGGCAATGGACATCTGTACTTAAAGAACTAATTTTTGGTAGCAGATTTGAGTTTTAACATACTATAATGGAGTTAAGGGCCAAGATATAATCCTGGCTGGGGAAACAAGCCTGAAAGCATGCTCTGCCAGAACATCTAGCCACCTAGAACAGAAACACTTACAGACACAACTGAACTGGTTTTCAGTGGTGTGTGCTTTGTGAAGACATCTTTCCTGTTTCTTCTTAATTATTTAAGTAGAAAATGGATATTTTCAGGGTTAAACCACTAGTTTTGAAAGAGCTCTAATATTAAAAATTTAATTGAAAAATAAATCAAATCACTATTTCGACAGACCAGAACAATTCTCTCCCTTTTTTTCCTCTCAATTGTCCTTTCAAAGCCAGTGAAATGCAAGGTTTTGCTTCAGCAGAACATTTGTGAGTAAAGCTGTAGCTGTTTTTCAGAAAATAAGAATAACTGGAAAAAATAATATATGGATCAAGAAGTACTTCTTGAAGCTGGGTCCTGCTTCATTATGGAGCAGAGTCAAGTCTAAACCACTTTGTGGAACTGTATATCAGTCTTTTCTGTCTTTCTGTTCTCACTGCTGAGGCTCTCATGTCTTAATTGATGCTCTACTCCATCTTTTGCTTTGATACACAACACTGCTTCTCTCAAAACTATTCTACAAGCTATTAAAAATATTTTCCCGGTAGAAATCATCCACTCTTTCTCCACCCATCCACTGTCTCCTGCTTTTTCCCCAGAGATCAAACAGAAATACCTGGTTTCTTTGCACATTTTTCAGAATTTAATCCTTCGGACCTCTCTCCTTTAGCATCCCATGGGTGCAGAACAGCTCAGGAGATGAAAAAACCCGAAAACAGAGGTAAAAGCCCTCTGCTTTCCCATCCCCCAAAGACACTGTTCAATACTTAAAGCTCACCACAAAACATGATGTCCTCCAAATGCTGCTGTTTAGATTAGGAACCAAGGTTTTGAAACCATAATTAAATATCACACAGGTACTGTGTCCTCCCACTGACACATGGTTTCATCTACTTGCCAACTTTTATGAGGCTGTGCAAGCTGAACTCCCTGGGACAGCGCTTCATTTTTCCAGCCACATTGTAGGGCAGAGAGCAGGTCCCCAGCTCTGGGCTGGTACCCACAGAGTCTGGCATCTCGGGAACTGAAAAGATGTCCTAAATGTGTTTTAATAGACAGAACGCATGACCATATTGGTAGATAAATACTGCAAAAAAAGAGAATTCTTCAAAATTCTCTGTTTAAGGTGTTCATTGCATATGTATATTTCCTGTTGCTTCCTCTCAAAATAATGCCATAGGACCAAGCGCTACAATAAATACTTTTAGAACTAGTTGAGACTTGGGAACTTACAGCCAATCAACAACAAAAAACCCTCTTACTTACTGACAAGGGAGAGATTCCTTTCATGTAACGTGAGTATTTGAACTCTAAACTGGTAATGCAGACACATTGTTCCCTGTAAAGATTATGGCTCTATAAAGGACTGCACTAAATAATTTTGTTTTAATGCAAAATTATAAAAATTCTAATTAAAATTAATTAAAATTCCATCTTGTCTCAAGAAAGAGAAGGTGAGGTTGTAGAGCTGTTTGCTTGCAGTCTGGCTTCAGGAGCTAGGAGTGTTCCATGATCCCACCAACCATGAAGGAATTATTAAGTGCCCAGTACTTTCAAAATACAGTTCATCATTGGGAAGCTGAGATTAGGTAGTCTGAATAAATATTTTCAAGGTGCACGCTATTACAAGTGGGCTGAATTAGCTCAGGATTCTTTGAACTTTTAAGAGCCCTGAACATAATTATAAATTAGAGAGCAAATAAAGAAAGACTACTTTCAGATGGTCCATTTCCCATTCAAAGACATCAAATTCTCTAAATTAAGAGGGTGATTATCTTTCCACTTCTCCCTAACAGCTACTCTTTGTGCCATTTCTTCCCACACTGAGCTTTCAAAACTATGAACTGGAAAAGAAACTTGGCAATATTGAAAAGCATGTTGTTGAAGGCTTCTTAAATCACTTTTCTGTTGGATAAAGAGTGAGTATTTTTTGTTACGGATAGAAATTGCATTAAAACCACACTACTGATGGAAAACGACTTTATGAAATTTGGATATGAGCACGTAATTTGTCTCCCACACAATTGAGTTCCCTGAGTTATTCACTTTATTGCCAAGTTAAGCATCTAGTAAGTCGAAGTAATTCCTGGCAAACAATTTCAGTATGCACATGTTGAACAGTTCTTAAGTTGCAGCTCACAGGGAAGCATCATGTCTGTACAGGGTGCTCTTACAGGGATGCCAGCAGCTTCTGGTGGCCGGAAGTAAGAAGGTGGCACTCTAATAACTCAAGCAAAGCACTATTAAATGAAAGAAAATTAGGACGGAACATACAAATAGGGTACAAAAGGAAGAAAGGTCACTAGCAGCAGAGCATGGAAACTCTCAAACCAGTCCTGCCACAAACCTGCTGATGCATCTGTACTGAAGGCACAGGGTGCTACCACTAGCTTCTAGGTCTGGGTTGCTATGGAGGGAAGCGTTTCACAGACAACAGAGTCAAGCGCAGAAGGTAAGCAGGGCATCAACTTGACCAGCCACTAGTTAAACAAGGTCACAGCCTGATCTGTGCATCCACCAGCACTCCCTCTTGGGAGGGTAACACAAAACAACTAGATGTCTGCAGCAAGGAAGCTTTCTGAACCTTCAGGGCAAGCACATTAACACAACCTTGAATCAGGCCCGATGCTGAGTTTGGTGAAGAAAACTAATTTTTAAGAATTAAGCAATCCAGACAGTGTTCGCTCTACTTAAAGACAGACTTCCCTTTTTGTAGTTTGTAGAGGGCGAGAGAGAATTTGTGCTACTGAGAGCAACTTGGGTGGCTTAAGAAACCAAACCAAAATGTGGTACAACAGGTCTAGAACGTGACCGCAAGTAGGCTGGTAAGCATTTAGCTTAGGGAAGTTGTATTAAAAAACTCAAAGAAACCTGAGTTCTAAAATCTAGTTTTAGCCACAGGTCCTTTCATGCACTTGAAACTTTTTAATTAAAAAGACAATTAGAGATTAACAATATCTGCTGTGGTTAGAGGCCATGTGAACATGATGACTCAACATACACTGAAGAAAACCCATTGTAAAGGATCCACAGCATTGTGCATTGCAGTAGTCTATCACAGAGCATGAAGAACACAGAAAATTATAATTGCAACATTTTAAGAGTTATTTTCTAATTTGCTGCTTCTGCTATTAAACAAGTTGCAAAAGACAAATTCAATATCAGACTGAACAGATTTGTTCTGTTCCCTAACAGCCCTTAGTGACATCACCCACGCAGCAAACGTGGGATGGGTTCACTGCCGTGGGTTTCTGCATAATGGAAGGGGAGGAAGGCTGCTAGTCCTGTGACCCTCCATCTTCCTGTTGTGAAACACGCTCAACGGGCGAGCAATTGACAGGAAGAGGCTGAGCACAGAAAACCATCCTGTCTGGATTTGGAAGTGGCTGGGTGGAGGGGTCAACCGCCTCTTCTGAGGGAGTGCTCCTATACATGAAGACCTGTGGAAAGAGCTCCAGTTCCTTCCAGGGGCAGCAGTAGGTTCATCTGTCTTACTTACGTGCGTTTTCATTTCGTTTGCTACTGTTGTTGACATCATGATACAACAGATGATAGTCACCAGGATGAAGTAAAGCGCATACATGAACCGAGTGCTGGTTGACTGTTTTATCTTGGGGCAACATTTGCAGCACAGGGAACAAGCAGCAGTACCACAGCAGCAGGCCAACTGGAAAATAAGACAAAAATCACAAGTCATTACACCAACACCTTTAGGTTTCTATTGCAAAAGTCAGACAGGGAGGCTGGGAGACTTCCTGTAAAACTCCAGAAGTCCTGTCCTCTCAGGTGAGCTGTATTTAAGTGGAAGCAGACTGTCTTGTTTATCAAAACGCATTATGTTTAAGCAGATCAGTTTCTAGCTTTCCCACATACTAGGGATGAGAGTGAAGAGGATGAGGAGGAGTCGCTCACGATGTCTTAATTCTGCTCTTTGCCATCTCTGTGTAGTCCATGGTCCTGACATGTTTCACCCAATGGAACAGTCACTGCAATGGTAAGGCTCTAGTTATTCCAATATACCGTCCCCACTCTGTCGTGAAAAAAACAAATCTATGCCTGAAGGGCACAGACTCTGACAAGACTTTGCTTTTAACATACAGACAGAACTATCTTGTTTCTAAGACAACCTGGAGGTTTTGTTTCAAAATAAGATGTACAGACCCATTTCAATTCACCAGAATCATACTGTGCTTGTTAAGATGCCCTTTCTGATATACAGGCAGACAAAGAACTTGGGTTTGTTTTTTGTTTTACATAATTTTTAAAGCTACTAAAGACTTAAAGCACATGAAAGGGAGGCAGGAAAACTGTTTAAGCTATACTTTGCGATAGTTGTGCTGAAGGCTTTATAAACAGACAAAAGCTGCAAAAACCTCAAACAAACAAAACCTACATCAATAGCTCTAAACATTTTTGGCAGTAGAGAGAGAATCTGGAACTACTTGGCTTATTGAAAATAAAGCAGAAGATAGCTGAACGTGAAAGACCCAAAGTACAATGGCACCATCTTGTACAGAAGAAAGACAGAGAGGGAATGCACATTCATAGTTACTGAGATACACTTTGCGAAGGGAAAGTGGTGATTCCAAGTGCATGATGGCAAGATAAGGAAATCCACAGCTTCAAGGAAAATAACACTTTAGCTAATACTGTCTCCAATGTTTCAAGATTATTAGAGACAGAACTCCTTGTGTACTTTAGTTCTTCTGTACTTGCAACAGAGGAGCCCCCAAGATAAAAACGAAGAAGCATAGCAAAAAGCATGTTAATTGCCTCATTCAACAGGGAAAAAGGTACTGAATAAATACTGAAAAGGATCTAGCTTGATGCTCATAATTTCCTTGCTGTCAACAGTGTCATTAACTTTCAAAGAAGGTAGATTCACCTTCCCTGCCTTCTACTTTTAGAAAAGCTATATATAAAAATATAAGTATAAGCCTTATTTTTTTTACATAAGTCAGCACTATCCTTGGCCAGGCCCTTCTGTGCAATAGGCAGCAGCTTCATGTGGCTCCTGTGCTTAAACCAGCAGCCACGACCACAGGAGGAATTTCTGGACCAGGAGCAGGGAACCCCTCTTCCAGGTCTCACTGCTGCTGACCCAGAACAACCCCACCCCTCAGCACTCTTACTTTTGAGAGGTTGCCTGTGGCTAGTGTATAGCACAGGGCGATGCACTGCCAGTGCCAGGGGCTCCAGTACATCAAAGATGCTTTTTCTTTGGTGTTTCCTTAGCCCTTGGAGGGACGGTGGGGATGTTCAGAGGCCCGTCTTGCTTTCTAGCAAGCAGTTGTACAAGATGGATGGCTTCTGTTAGCCCTTTCCAAGGGATTCAAAATGCAAAAGTGCCACATGTGAGTCACTCAGGTAAACTTCACTGGCTTCGATATGCCTTCAGGTGTCAAATCATCAAATACTCTTTTTCCTCCTAGGGAACTTCTTCCAGCACCAATGACTGCCTGACCCAGAGAAGGGGGTTTCAAGCATGTGTCTGCAGACATACATACCTGATATTACTCCACAGAGTTAAATTATACAACCAGATCAAAGAGCCCCACATAATTTTGAAGACTCCCAGCTTATCACTCCCTTGCCAAGACTATCTGCTCCATCCCTGCCTCTGGCCCCAGAGAAAAAGGGTAGAAGTTGGGCCCTTGCCTCACGTGACAACAGCTCTTCAGTTTGCAAAAGATTTAAAATGGGGACAGTCCAACTCAGCTCCCACACTGTCCTTCTCTCAGTTCACCACTGGATCTCACGGCAGAGGAGACAGGGGCCTCAAAGCACGCAGCTGCTAAAACTGCTGCTGTTGCAAACCAGAAATCCTCCCCAAAACACACAAAGCTCCAACCGTGGGGAATAAACAGAATAGGCTCATGCTGGCACTAAAGCTGGAAATTACAAAGACTACGTGCATAAGCACATTGTGCTTCGTGTATATTTTAGAAACAGAAGGCAACGGTGGCTATATGGCAATTTTATTTTTTACATGTAGGGAAAAACTTTTACTGCATCAAGTACAAGAAATAAGCAAGTTATGGCAAGTTACCAATTCAGTAAACAAATGGAATAATAACATTTAAAAACAAAAACATACCAGATGAGTACAATCCATCTACCTCAGAATTATGTGGGAAGAAAGAGAAAAGATTAAGACTAAAGGTCCTTTCAGTCTGTATCAGCCAGATCCAAAGTATGCACAATGAACTTCAGCTGCCGGCTATACTCACCATAACGTAAAAACTACAGTAGAGTAGAAGAAGGTATGCAATTTTGGCATTTGTAAGAGGAACAACGTTTTCCTGAGCCACCAGAGCTCTGCCAGTGAAACATCTTCTACATCTAGCAACATAACATGTCTGCTATTCTAGTCCTGGGTCCCTGGAATTGCTATTTAAAGCAACAAATACTCAAATAGAATATATAGCTTGTTAACGCATTGCTCCACATTACTCAGAGAGACTTTAATGATAGCTTTGAATATTGAGAACATACCCTATAAATTGACAGTATTTGTGAAAAATTCCAGTGCCTCCACCTTTTTCCGCTATGCTCCTTTAAGCACTCTGAATAGCCATGAAAACCATAGAAAATTGGTTAAATTATTCAGCTACAGTCTCAAATTTAGTGGCTTGGGGATTTTTTTTCCCTGTGGTTTTTTTTTTATTCCTTTTTAAACTGTGGTTATGACTAACTACATTCCAGAGTGGGCCGCCATAAAATAGGTGTTACCCCAAAATAAATGAAAACAGTCTTTGTACCAAAGAATAAGATGCTGGCCACAAGCTACTGACCCAAGATGCTTCCAGAATGTTATCTTTGGGTGACAGACTTCAAAGCCCATATATACAATGAATTCTCTGTTAAAAGGCTGTGGTCAACACAGAGCTAAACTATGTGATCCCTCTAACGCTGCATGCTTTACTGTGATTGTGGCCCATCTCGCCCTGCCTCTGCCTTTTGACTGCAGTGAGGTCTGCCCAGGGGCTCAGGACCCACTGGTGCTGAAGTGCAAGCCGGTAACAAATTCTTGTCACGTTAAAAAAAAAAACAAAACAGGCTGTGAAAAAACCCACAACAATTAACGTCAGAAATCTTTTACAGATTTAGGTTATCGTTAAACAAAAGCTCTTCCAGAGGAAGGGTTTCACAGATGAAAGGTGTTGTGTGGTTTTTAGGACAGAGACAATCCAGGCAACTCAAGGTCTGTGATCGCTGCCAGCAGGCAAACCTTGAAAATCCTGGTCTGTACCTACAGCACTCCTTCAAAGTCCTGTGCTCCTTCCAAGTGAAGTGTCCTGAAAAGCCCAGTGCAACGGGGCATCCAAACGCCAAGCTGCTCTGGCAGGAGTTCGTCACACTGCAGCAGGTTCTGGGTCCAAGTCCTTCTCATCCAAAGGCTCCCACAAGTCAGGCAGCAAGTACAGACATCCCAGCTCCCTCTCTAGCTTTACATCACCTCACCAGGTGAACACCACAGTCTGACAACAATTACAAGCACTATGCAAACATTTATGCTTTCCACAAACTCTTAAAATCAGCTGGGCCCCACACGCTAACCCACCACAGCGCCAGGCCTCCACAACGTGGACCAGCCGCTTGCTTTGCTTGGTGTCACTCTTTGGGAGCTGAAGGAGGGTGCAGCACCAGCTTACCTGACATCCCGAAACTTGAAAACCTAGCGTACTTGAAAACAGACTGCACCGCGATTTGAACGGCCTGGATGACAGTAGGCTTGACTGGTTTCACAACAGCAGCTGTGGAGAGCTGCGTGGGAAATTTTTCTGCTAAGCAAGTCAAAGGCATGTCAATCCTTCTCAGCTGCTGATTTACTATGCAACAGCAGAAAGTTTCACCATTTCAAATGAGGGCACAGCACACAGCCCAGAAGGGAGAGCAGAGGTTGGTGCCTCACAGCAGTCTCTCCTGCCTTCACCCTTCTCTGAATGGATGTCTCAGTGGTGTTTTCCAACCACCTCGTTCAATTTGACTGCAGCAGGTTCTTGCCATTGCAGAGGAACAGTAATTTTTACATTCATACAGTGAGGAGCTGAAGCAGACTATACAAACAGCCCTAGTCTGTGCAAACCACTTTCCAGCTACAGGCAGGCCTGGACATATTTGCACATTCCCATCTCATGCCAGCCTGGGGAGTACCTGCAGTTAACAAGAGCTAAGACATGTTAATAAAACAGTGTAAAAAAGCAGGCTTACCAACTTGCACACAAGCTATCAGCTCCCTACAATAAATACTCTAGCAACATACACTTAACATGTGCCACACACACAAATCTTGAGTCTTGCAAGCTGTGATCCAACCTCATAAATCAATGGAATGAGGTATGACAGTGATGTGAAGCACACATGTAACTGTGTACATACAAGACTGAGAAGTGAACATGTCCTGTCTGCTGCTTTTGCAGAGATAGTGACATTTTTAGAAGGTATTTTCCACAGATGTTTCAAAAAAACCTCAAAGGTCTTAGCAAACATGTTGTGCAGCCATTGAAACAAAGTGAGGACTTTCAGGATCACTGCCAAAAATAGTGTATGGTATTTTTAAATTACACAAACCATAGGGAAGTATCAAGCTTATCAGAACAAAGCACTCTTCCTTTTGGGAGATTTCAGTGGGAATGGTAAAAATCAAATGGAAGAAGAGCACACTGAAAAATAACAGAAAATTTGCACACTTAAATGAAATGAAGACTTAGCAGCATTTCATCTCTTCCCTGCCAACTGACCGCCTGGCCAGAGCGGCCGGGGAGGCTGCACGCCTTTCGGCCTGACCACCGAGCACAGGAATGTGCCTTGCTCAAACTTCTTTTCACAGGGGCCTGCAGCAGCTTAGTTTTCCATGCACTGCTTGATTACTTGACTACCAGTCCTAAGATCTGCAGATAACGTGGTCACTGAGCTGTCAACAGCAACGTCTATTAAAACCACTCAAACTTTTGCTCTCAGAGTGAGGCGCAGCACCCAAGCAGGCTGGCAGTGCAAAGCAGCCAGCCCTACATGTATAACGTCCTGAAGCAGCTAGACTGCTGAAGGAGCCCTTGGACTACTGGTTTCAGGGAAGAGCATCTACCAAGCCAACTATTTTGTCAGTGCACTAATTCATGAAAACAAGAGATCCCAGATACTAGGTGTTCAAGTGTCAGGAGTTGGGCTCAGACTGCACTGTTATGCACACATTTTGCAAAGGTTTCTTCAACCAGCTGCATGATGATACAGTGCTTTGTCCCTGTGAAGTAACTAAATTCACCAAAGAGACTTTATTTCGTCTTTTGTCTGACTTCACTGGCTTTTCACTGCTTCTTCTTTAATAGTCAGACTCACCACGTGGCTTAAGCCATGAGGTTTCATGACCAGCACACCAGTTTTTCTACTGGTGACCTATTTTTGGGAGTACACTTCAGGACTGCAGACTGTGCAAAACTAATACTGGCTTAAAGTCACATTAGCCTAGATGCTGCCTGAACGCTGCCCTCCAGTGAGGCTTTCCTACCCCAAGCTGAGCTTCCAAAGCAAAAGGCTTGTGCCCTGCACCACAGGGCAGAACTGTCATACTACAAACAGCCTGAAAACTAGCGGAGAAAGCAGCATCCAGGACAGCTATGGCAAGAGCAAAAACGTGGGTGAGCCAGTGCCAGTGCTGACAGAGCTGAAGTTAAGCTGAACTGAGGATGATAGCTTCTGTCTCCATGCCTAAACATTACTAAGTGGTGACTCAGCTTAGCATTAGAAAACAACGTCACAGCAAAGCATCTAAATTTAAAACTGCTCAACTGCTCTTCTCCTGATTATTTTGGAAAAATCAAGACAATTGTTTAGTCTAACCCAAGACGCGCAGTGTATCACATCACTTAGCTCCTCAGTAGTACAGCTATTTTCCATTAGCACAGACCATCCGGATTTGAGAGCAGCATGAGGTGCACTCACTGTCCTTCTGGTTACTTACACCTATCATCAAAAACAGAAAAAAAAACAAACCCACTTTCTCATCTGTCTGCTACACTTCTCAGATATGGGTTCTTGGTGAGGCTTTCTTTATTGGTTTACAGAGCCTTTTAATTATCTGGTCTTTTCTCCCTGCTCATCAAGGAAGGAACTTAAACTATTTAGCCTGTTTCATTTGAGGGTGTCCTGATTTGAGAATAACCAGCACCTAAGTTGTTTGGGCTTTTTCGTGTAGCTTCTCAATTTTCCCAAGCTCCTCTTAAAAATCATGGCAGCATCATTAGCCCAATTGCAAATAGGCCAGAAAGTCACCTCACTCCTCCACACACAGTCAAAGGGACCCGGGTGAGATTCTGACCCGCAGTATCCCATGCTGCAGGAGCAGCCGGCCCTCCATGCACACCTTACACTGGCAAACAGCTAGCTGGCTGTACTTTAGCGGAGTATTTTATTTGCACTGGGGTCATGCCATTTGTGTCACATCACTTTCAATAGTACTGTCTGCTCCACTAATCCTTCCATCACACCTGCATGCTTTCAGGAAGAATTTTACACATGCTCTCAGGTCGCTGATGAAAACAGTGGCCTCTTTTGACCTGACCCTGAAGTTTCTTTGTATGATCCCTTGACAATTTCCACTGTGAGCAACTTCTGCTGCGTGTTAGCTTCAACTCTCCTAACATTTCATTTTCACAGCTTTCTCATCTGCAAGTCATTCCATGTCATGCTGCAGCCACTCCTCTGCCTTCCACAGCAGAGGAACTACTAACAGAGTGACTGGAAAATGAAAGTCAAGTCAGCAAAGGCAAAGTCTGACAATTTGAGGCCATCCCTTCATACAGCGAGCAGATTTTCTCCAGGTTAGCTTTGATGTTCAAGACCAGGACTCCAGAGGTAGAATGACACACAGAGATGCAGTGTGGTGACACTGCCAGGGACAGAACTAAGTGCAGGTCAGTAACTGCTTAAGTCCACGTATCACTTGAGAGAAGATACAGTTAACACAAAATTTCTGTATGCATTGACTTAAAACCATGTAGCAGGAATATCTGCCTCACTTTTGAATGAATTGACAGCTCTGAACTGTTGCACAAAGAAGCTGCGTCTTTAAACAGTCGTTTCAGTACCATATCCAATAAGTATGAACATAAGATTAACTATTCTCACTACATCATACTAAAAACCCCACAAAACTACCTCCTCAAAACATTAATAAAAATATTCCAGTTTAGACCAGTGTCACAACAGCCAACTTTACACGTTTCCAGCCTGACAGGTTCAAAATCAAGCCTCCTCATGTGTCACTTCTTGATTAGCATTTCTAAAGACTACTCAAAAAGTATCTTGAATGGTATTCCTGAAACACTGTTTTGCCAGTGACTGTAACATAACAAGGCAAAGAAAAAAATCCACATGAGATAGGTGTCTTCAGAAAATGTTAAGAACAGTTCCTGTTAAAATTCTTTGTGAGAGATGACAGGTTGACACATTTTGGATCAGACAGAAAGAAGTGCAAAATTTTCCATTTTCAGACTGTGAACATTTTTATGTTTAAACACTTGTGCATATGCCATCTCTAAGTGCTGGAAGTTCCAATTACTAAACCACAAACAACAGTCCCAGCATAGTTATCACTACTTAAAATGATGATGCTAGGTGTGTCAAGACTCCCTTCAGAGCAAACATGGAGTCACCTTCCCCACACATGCTGTCACAGGTAAATGCTACAGTCCCCCAGAGCTCTGGCTGGCTCAGTCCCTCACTGCCTCATGCTGCAGCACATGCTGATGTTAAAGCCAATCTCTTGGGTGACAGAACGCAGTAGGTCAAACTCAGTTGGCAGAACAGTCCATCACAGCCTAAAAATCCAGAAGGCCAGGAGTTTCAACATGCCAAAACATATTAGAGCTTTCACAGTTGAGAAAGAAATGGAAGCATCATTAACTCAGGTACAAGAAAGACCTTGGAAGCAACCTAAGGTCTGACTGTCTTCACATGGCTAAGCTGAGAACTTCATCCAGCCTTGGCATATGTTTGGGAGGATAGCAGTCACCAGCTCCAGACAAGATCTTTGGCTTATACTGTAGTCATGGCTCAGGCTTTCATTCAGTTGCTCCCCTGAAACAGGCATGACTTGTACCCACAAGTGTGAGTGCATCCTTTATAATGCAAGACTCAGTAACAGGAAAAAACATCCTGGAATAACTATTTTAATTTGCAAAAATTAAAACAAAAGCTGCAGTAGGATTTATACCTTTCTGCAGAAAAGTATTCCTTTACCCTTGCCCTGCTCTTGTACCGTCTCCACTCCACAGCTGTAGAGCCATAAGTACCTAAGTTCTTTCTTTAAAGCCAGAATGCATACAACTTCAGGGAGGTGAGAGGAAAAGGCTAAAAAATATCAGGCAGCAATGGGAAATTAAGCAACAACAAGAGTATGTGCCTCTTAGGTAAAGGATTCCAACCTAGCAAAGCAAGGGTCAAATGATATAACATTTACATGACCTCACTTTTCGGTCAGTTTTCCCTCCCTGTTTTTCCTATCTGTATTTAAATGGAATACATTACAATACTCCACATCTGACCTCAGACAGCTAGTTTTATTTTCAATCATAATTAATAGCAGAGGCATGGAAAGGCAGCTGTGAGAGGGGGCAAGATCCACACCTAAATGTCTCTTTTTTCAGTTGATCAGACCAGGTTAAATACAAGCCAAACCCCTCTTATACAGGAACACCACTTTCAGAAGTAGAGACACGTGGAGTGGAGAGAGGAATGCCACTGGCACCATCCCATAGCACCGCTGCGCGTTACACCACACACACACACCAGCAATGCCTCTGTGTCCTCAGGGCACTCAAACCTGGATGAGTACGACAGAGCCATCCTTTTCACCATCTAGTGAAATAGAAGATAACTAGGGGAGGACGGGAAGCACGGTTCTCAATCTCCAGATGCAATCAGGCAGTGCCAGAGACACAGGCAGCTCTGAAGCGCACAGGGGGCTTCCTTCCCTTGCTCCAAAAGCCACAATGCCCAGAAGTCATAAGACTGGCCAATGTCAATCTTATAAATAAAGCTTTTTTTCCTTTTTTTTTTTTTTCCAAACCCTTCAGAATTAGACGTCTGAGTATAAAATGAAAATTCAATATTCTTAAC